TCACTGGATTGAAAATTTTTTTACTTTGACAATTAAACGTCAGTTGAACTAGATTTTAAAGTATAAAGTTTAACCAATCTTTCTGCTTCAATTGTCAGAAAATAAAATAACCATTGCTTATTCGTTGTTCTTTAAATGTTATCCCTTGCTAATTTTAATATTAAAGATAAAGAAGAAAATTTGATAGGTAAAAATTTCAGTAACTATTCACATTTTCTTTCAATACGGAAAAACCGCTTTTGTAAAATAAGATCAATGTTAAATTTTTCCATAACTTCGCCAAAAAAAATTTCCGAATACACCTATGTCTTTTACTTTTTGTTAAGTAATATATAGAATTGTTTTCTATAAAAAAGTTGCATGATTTTTATTCACAAGTGTATAATTTGTGCATTAAGAATCGCAAAAATATTCACATCAAAAATTTCAATTTGGCTAATATAATATAAAATTACGTTTGATGAATTGACTGCGCCGAGGTGACATTCTTCTGATCTATCTGAAAAATCTGGACGAAATGTCATTTCGACAATTTCTGACTTCAGAATAATAAATTTTCTTATTATAAATAATAGTATTTTATTTTATATCCAATTTTTAAAATAAAGTCTATTTAAATATTTTATTATTAATTATTTATATATTATATATGATAAATCTAAATTTTAAAAAGGAATAAATTAAAATAAGGGGTATTTTTGTAAACATTATTTAGTTTCATAAACAATTATTACTATAAAGGGCATTAAGTGAAGAAATTTAAGACGAACTTGAATATGCATATGATTAACTTGGATTATTTTCGTTCTAAAATATGAAATTAAATAAAATATATGAGTTTTAAAAATAAAAGTTATGGAAAATAATATTGAAGAACGTATCCATTTATGCACTATGAAATACCAACAAGAACTTAGACGAATTCTTTATTTCTTGTCAATGAATCACCATAGATATCCATCTACTAACCGTGGTAAATTCTGGAGTCAGTTCAGTCGGTAGTTAGACACTTTCCGTCTACTCAGCCGTCGCTTGAATTGCGACTCCTATTTGAAATTTGACTTAACTCCTAGTTATAATCTCGCTCTAACTTGATTGGTGACGTTCCATATGTTTCAGATCAGATAAATCAAATGCGTATCAAATAAATTAAATAAAATTCATTGAATTCAAATGACTCAACAACTACGCAATATAATGATATCAGCATAAATAAGTTAAATTGAAATGGTCTGAGCAACATCTATAAATTCCAACAATACTCTAACGTTTTGAACCAATTCTTTTACATAAGTGTATTTACTCACCATCCATTTTTAATTTCGGCATCAAATTTACTACTTTGATCTGATTGTTTATACATTCATTTAAAGAATGGCAAGTAAAATGCATCACAATAATCTCTCCAAATCCAATACAACTCGTGACATTAATGGAAGCGTCTTACAACTAATGTCACATATATCAGCGTAGACAGTAGAATCACATTACGGATCATATGTTTTACTATCTCTCCTGACTTGGCAAACGTTCCCATATCACTATTATAATGATAATACTTAAGTTACGTTTTTATGATAATAAAAATTCATTAAGTGAAGGTGAATATAATATATACATATATATAAATAAAGTAGTGCTTATTTTTTCTTGAAAGACAAATAATTATTGAATTAAAATTATAATTGTGCAGTGATTACTAACTTGTAACCTACAACTGAAATTACAACAAAATATAATTCATTTGACATTAGATAAAAATCCTTTGTGGTAAATAGGAAGGGCAATCATTATATTAGGCAAAACCCTTATTTTTTACTGCAAAGCATCATGTGGTTATATTTCTAATTCAATTACTTAACAATGAACTTTTTTATTTTGTTGTTCTAAATATTAAGATCACTCCCCATAAAGTTGAACAAAATGCAGTTTATCATATGAATACTATCTGCTGCTCATATCATATTTTCACATTATATAGAGAAAGAAAATATCAATTCCCCAAAAAGTATAATATTTATTTTTATTACAAATATTTATAGGCAACTTACATAAAGCATACAACATCACTCTTGGTTGATAAGCCATCTATCAATAACAATAAGAATAAATTAGATATACAACGAAAATCAAAAAAAAGTCTTAGACTTACGTTCTTGAAAGTTAATACAAGTTCATTCTTAAATCTTTCAGGAATAAATTCATCAGGATTCTTCGAATATTTTGATGAATGATCAATTCAATAAATATTTATATTATTTGAGTTTTTGGTAAATATGTATGATTTCGAAATTTAATAATCTCGAAATTTTCTTTTGTGATAATTGATGAACTTTAAAATATATGTATAATATATATATACTATAATATAAAATAAATTTGGAAAAGTAAGTATGTTAAGTAATGCAATCTGGAGTATATAATCTTAAGTTTTCATTTATAACCATGTTCATTTATTTTAATCCACTTTGTTGTTCAATGGTTGGTGTTAAATTGTCGCCAAGAACGCTTCATATTTCATCACGAACTTTGCCTTATCGATAAAGATAAAAATCCAAATTAATAAAAAAATAAATACATATAAGTTATTTGAAGTACAAATTTCTTAAATACCTTGTGGGTCGCTATATAAGATTGTTAAAGCAGTTGCAGCTAATTAAATTATTGTCAAGTCATTAATTGAGCATCCAATACATGATTTAAAAAAATAAGGTTATAAGTTTGAATAATAAGAATAAATACTGTATGTAAATTATTGAATGTTATTCTTAATAGATCATGAACAGCATAAATATCAAGGTTACGCTATAAATCGCGAAGATTATTTATTAAACAATTTTCAATAAATTATGCTTTGAGAAAGGTTATATAACAAATTATATTACTTATTTGCATTTCTTCGTTAGACATGGGATATTTTTTGATTGTAGCGTTTATCATACATCAACACCTTCATGCTGGTAATGATGATGTGTTGATGTTAGTGTTCTAATAAATCGGCGGTATTATTTCTATTTTTCATAAAAAACGGAAATATTCAATGAATGGAAAAAATTTAATATTAATTTTTCACATTCTGCTTAATAAGTTCTTCAAGATTCTAAATATTATTAATTATTTAATCATCCTTACATTGCTTTTAAAAAAAAGTTGTCTTATATTCAAAACCAAATGTAGCTCTTCTAAAGTTATTCTGTCATAAATAAAAATTTCGCTTCAACTATTAAAATAATTCGATATTAATTACCTAAGATGGGTCAATTACCAGCTTTTTTCGATGACTACAAGCGATTTCATAGCAGTTCCTTGTATTGTGTTGGATTACTTAAGAAGAATTCGTGTTATCTTTTTTGTTAAGTCATTCAGTTGATGTTTTTTTATTTTATTTTTTTTATTTTACTTATAGATCCTGCGTAAGTGCTCAAAATAGTTCTTAATCACAAATTATAAACAATAAGAGAATAAAATAATCCCATAATATTCTATCAAGTGAAAGATCTATGATGGAATTCGTTTATTTTCTTAAATATGAACAAGTCTAAGATTTGAGACAAATCTTTTCGGTTTCATTATGTTAACGATTCAATTTTATAAGTAATTTAAACCAACTTGGGTCTTAATTCGTAGTTAATATTTTATAGAAGATCTCGATCGAGACTCTATGATCCATAATTATCGCTATCATCCATCATTAGAACATTGCATTAAAACGACAATGACGAAAATGAAAAATTATTATATTAGATGCTACGATTGAACCGAAAAGTAAAAAAAAGTTAAATAGAAAATATTGAAATCTAATAACAAACCGCTCTTTCTGGAAAATAAAAAAATAATACTCGAAATAATTGGTTAGGGTCATGATGTGATGTCATCCTTATTTTAAGTCACGTGAAGTTCGCGTGCAATCATTATTTATAATGATGTTTTGATTGACATGAGTGTTTTTTTTTTTTAATTTTAAACTTCTTTTCTTGAAACTATACTCTAATCCTGAATCTAAAAAAATAATATCTTTTATCGTAATATTCGAGTAAGTATCTCTACTTCTCATACTCCAAAAAAAATATCGCTGTCGTTGATGGTAATTTTTATCTTTTTCCTTTTGAGTCTTCGTTGTGTGGAGGTATTAACTAGCCTTACTTTAGCAGTTCTTAGTATACGAAGAAACAATAAATATACTCCTGTCGTATATGGAAAGTTGGGATGGAATG